GTAATATATCTCAATTTCGTAAGATATCCTTCGGAATAACCCACTTACAATGGATCATATCGTAAAGGACAAAAAGCTAGATAGTATCCTTGTTTACATTGATAGTATAACAGTATGTGGTATCTACAAAATTGATCACGATAAAATCTTGGCAAAATTCCTCACCGCTATAAAGAAGTGCGGACTCGTCTTTAATGAGGTAGACTGTATCATTGATGTTTGCGAGATTTGAGTGCTGGACTATGAGATATCCCATAGGCAGGTATGGCTCGATAATGAAAGACTGCGTTCTCTTTGGGAACTGCTTTGCCAAAAGACATCAAATCTCAGTGGCTCATCGTGAGATTGGGATTGTATTTTTTCTCTAGAGATATCGCGTTTCTCAGATAAGGCCGTCCACTCGAGAGTGAAAATTCATTCTCTTTATCGATTAACACCAAAGTTTTCAAGGGGCTTCACAGAATTAACGACGTGGGACCTTTATCCCTCGAAATCTCAAGCGTTATGAAAAACATCATTCCTCTTTTATTAAACGAATCCACCACATTCGAAGAAGTCTTTTGGAATTGGACCTATTTCTCTCAAGAGAAGCCTGACTTTTGCTGAGAATTCCCACAGTATGAATCTGAAATAGATGGGGATTATTCGCCGCCGTAGGAGACCACCGGTGGTATCTCAGTGCGACCGAATCCGTGAGATCCCGGGTAACGGACCGAATACGGGATTCTGATTTTCCCAATCCGTCCACTAGAGCTATTTCGGAAGAAGCAAGACTTCGAGCAACCCTATAAATAAAGCCCGGTTCTCTCTTAGTCAGTATACTTCCTCTGACGGACCAATGAACGCCGCAGTATTGCAGCTTTCTTTTAACAGCAATCGTTGGGGAAACCAACTTCGGTCACGATTCAATGGCAGTCTGGCGGATACAACAATTCCCCTCTTGGATTACAGTTCAAACTCATTGTAGACCAAGGGTTTTTGGTCTTCATATGTGATCGAAGACGTTATGGAAACGTTAAAAATGATGCAAAAAATCCAACGATAGAGGATCGAGTTATCCTGTTACAGCTTTGAAGTCATTTATTACCTAGACCCACAAAATGTCTCAGCCTAGCGCCACCTCGTAGACTTAGCGTATCTCAAATTTTGTGATGTGATCAGATTGTGACGATGCGACGAGGCTGAAAGACGACGCAACAAGGATAAGAACCTATGCGATGAGGCTGAGTAACAAAGAGAAAAGCTGTACGTGACAAACTGTTTGCATTGGCATTGTGAATGAAACGCGTTTGCCAACTCGGGAATTACAGAGAAAAATGTAGTTTCGATTAGCTAATCAACGTATTCAGATTGAATCTTGCTATTGAGGTTAAATACTCTTAACTACATCACTGTATCCGTGTACCATTGTTCGGTATCTTGCTAGGTGCAAAGTCGTTCTTAGGCAATTCTGTTCAACAATCGTAGGGCAGTGAAAGAGAGTCGCCCAAGGATGAAGTAGCTTTAAAGTATCAGTGGCTCCTGCTTGGCGGTTCACTGAAGCTGAGATCGTACAAACTGCGTAACCGCTAACTCATTTCTGCTATAATGCTGAGAAGTCAAAATTCCTAATACAAGAGATATACCACCTGAAGGTTTTGATGATCGACGCCTACATAATCTAGCCCAAGGGGATAACGTGAATGGTTTATTAACCTCGATGTAAATCTTCCTGTGCTGAGGAATGTAATGAGCATATATTCGCTATCCAGTTGAATTCGGCTCAAATGACTCTACTAGTCATGACATGTTTATATCTAACGATGGGCTACCGCATTGCGCCTTATTTTCAGTTGCCGCTCCGGGTTGGAGAAAACCACCTAGAGGTATATAGCTGACCTGAGAACGAGACATGCGAAACTGCACACAGTGAATACGTAAAGCTGGTGTCTCTCGTCTTCCAGGTTTGGGTCCAAAATACTGGATGGTTGGAGAAACTACAGTGAACCGAGAGCAGTGGCGTTATTTTATAATTTCCTATTTGACGTGAATGCTTGAGATAATGTTTGCGCACAGTTGGACTGTGTACTCTTTGTGTTGACCATAGTGCTTCGCTTTTGTTCCTCTCCCCCGAAACAAGTGAAAATTGCTTCACTACATTTCGCTGTACGATCATAATCATGACAATCTATGGTATAACCCAGTATCACATGCGACCTCCTAATGATTAATCAGTTATTTATCCGATCATCTTCTGTCTATTCCTTCAGGTCAATAAGGTGCTATCCCGTCCACGTTTCGCTTGTCTCATTGAGTGCACGAGACCAAGGGCCAAATCACGAACAGCGGACCGACAATCAACACACCAGC